ATATTGCGCGCTATCAGCCATTTCCTCACAATCAACGTTGTTGCAAAATCCACTGCATGTGAACGATTCTCCTGCTCCAGCCGAGCATTTCCATCATTCAAGTTTCTTGATCCGAGCCGATTTGACTGAGCTACGGTGGAACAGCAAACATGAAAATTAATGAATCGCAGACCTGCGAATGTCTTCGTCTTTCAAACTTTTGGACGCTCCCATTCCAAATTTTCAAATGAAGCATGAAGTTTTTATTAGAAAAACGTTGATCAGCATGCTCGGAGCACCCTTCTGACCAATTTTCAAGTTGGAGGTGGGCAACTTCGGGGCGGTGGACCGTCCGCTCTTTTGTTCCCCACATCCACCATTTGGGCCGCCCCGCATTTTAAATCTTCATAATGAAGTCTGCGACTTTTAAATGAATGAAGTTGATCAGCATGTTGCAGCGAACCTTCCGACAAAGTTTCATGTTCGAAATGGGGAATCCCAAGGTAATGCATACTATTTCCATAAATCATGGATCTGGCGCTGACCTCCATTTCCGCCTTACATAGTAAACCCACATTATACCCTCCCATTCAATTTTTTCAAATGAAACATGAGGTCTTTTTTAGATCAACGTGATCAGCATGTCCAAGAGCATCTTGTGTGAAAGTTTGAGGTTTGAGATAGGAAATCTCAGTATCAAGTATTGATGTACAGTGTACATGCATTTATACAAGAGGTGTCCGATCTATATGATTTTCACTTCTTTCACTCAACTACTTCCCTCTTCCTCCTATTCTCATCTGTTGCCCCATTCAAGCATACAACTACCACCTGCGAACGATTGTCCTGTTTCAACCCATCATGTCAATCCTACAACTATCGTGATCCGTTTGTCTTTGACCCAATGGCAGGTCCATGGCGTGTACGCAGCTTTCTTGTCACTCTTCTACAACACCTGCCTTTCTTGATACTACACGCTCTCTTGCACATTCCTCTGCCACAATCAATCGTAGCAGCATGCATTCAGCTATTAGCAAGACCTTTACTCCATTGGTTCAAACAGCATTTACAAGCTTGTCTATCTACTACAACACACTCCTTTGCCACGACCAAAACAACAGCAGTTGCTATCAGGAGGTCTTTACTCCATTGTCTCAAGTTACTTGCAGCTACTTGCTTCGGTACATACGGATTCCAATGGATGGGGTACCACATCAGCTATGAAGTGTACCACAATACAAGCAAGCTTCACCTTGTTGAGATGCGCTATAGACAATCAGGCGTGATGGAAAAGGAAGCATATCAGCAGCAGCCACAGAAGCTCTTTCTTATTGGACTTGCAATGGTTATGATGGATGGATGGATGGAATCAAGTGCATGATGAGAAATACTGGCATGTTGCTTTGGTTACTTGGCACATCGTCGGCAGGAATGATGGATCATGTTGCGTGGATACGGCTGAGGATGGGCATTGACGAAAGGGGTTGTATCTTTGACGAGAGCTGTTTTACGGCCATGGACGGTATTGGAGTACTCGATTCAATGCGACCAGCAGCTACTTTGCAATCATGGATGAAGGATGATTATGACACCAGCAACCAAGAATACAATGACACCATTATCCCCGTTGCCTCTATATGATTCACTCGTTCCACCGTTCAATCCTGTTCCTTCATCATGTTTGTTTGATAAACATCCACACAACACCATATGCTATTCTTTGTCTTTTTCATTGGATGATTCTTATGATAACGGCGACGTCAACGGATGGAAGCTACCATCCCAAAGAAGAAGTTACAAGCACCGTTTATTATCCACTTGGATTGAGCTAGCATATTCCTTCCTTCTTGTTGCTTGTGGATTATACCTCATTGGATGAAATAAAGGTGGTATCGGTCTTGTGAGTCATTCAATACGATGTGCTCCTAAGATGTTGCGCTTGAGAAAATGGTGTAGGAACATGCATGGGCGAAGGGATTTCGGGTCTTGTAGGATGCAAGTAGCTGCAGCATCAAGATGAGAGAAACAAACAACAGTATCTTAATCCAAGACATTTATTGAAGCTTTTGATGATGAAAGCATACGGCAATTAACGTAGTCTGCTAATGGATCAAGGCACAGGAGGTATGCTCTGCCATATAGACTCAGTGTCCCAACCAGGATGGAGGTGCCTGATCTCGGCTCCATTAGATCGTGGAAGGTCCAGCAATCAAGATCGCAACATAAACATAAACCGGGATCAACAAGGTACTCGATCGCTGTTATGCTCCTGTTGGTGGCTGGTATTATACAAGAGCGCTTGTCGTAGTAGTCGTACTTGGTGTATATAATCAATACGTTTTAGTAGTTGATCGTGGGGATCTTTTACATCTCCTTCCTTTTCCACCACCACACACGCTCTTGTTCCTTTGTCGATACACTTGAAAGATCCTTAAAAATCGATAATAAAAGATCATGAAATCGGGTCCAGCTGAGTCCGTAGTAGTACACAAATGAGTATGCGGAATGTGTGTCGTGAACCCCCTGGTCTGTGCGCCGAATTTATACTATATCAAGTAAAGAATAGCTATGTCTCCGCTTCCCTGCTATGTTTCACCATGCACATTACACCTTTTCTTTCAAAAAGTACCCTTTATACAAGTTAAAAGCATACCTTTACTACTCATTCCTACACGCTGAGTCAACAGCCAATGAGATAAGAGTCCCAAAAAGGTCACAATAGCCAAGCGGACGTCAGAGCTGGGAGTCAAATTGGGATCGAAAGGTATAAAAGAAGGGCGTTTCCCCACACCTTTTTTCTCTTTTTTCTTTTCCTTAGAGCACCGTTACCAATTCCGTAAACATGAGGACTGTAAAACCTTCCAAGTCTTAAAGGCCTGTTTAAGGGGGGCTTCGTTAAATGCGACCGTAACTACCTTGCAGTTCTTTAAGCTCTGGTTAAGGGCTGCTTCCTCACTGTGCCTTGGTCAAGGTTGGTGTCCTTGGCTAAAGGCGGGAATGGTGAGGCAAACCTTCTCGTGGTCATTCCTGTGAGTACATGAGTCGTCTTAGACTTTTGGAAACCAATTGCCTCTTTTAGTTCTAGTTTTAATCTTGAATGCAAATCATACATAATAAACTCTCATCTCTTTAAAACATAAACTTGAGCTTTTATAAACAATCAATACATCAAATGAAAGATAAAAGTGCTGCGGTCAACATGATACCAAAGTTGGGTGGGGTTACATGGGTGGAACACGCTTAAAAACGCGTTTGAAGTTCCCGGACCCGAGTCTTTTGGTGACATTTTTTCATCGATTCTCGACGAAAAAGATATCAAACGATAGAGAAAAGCCGTGCGATCAATATGATGTATATATTGTGGGGTACATGTTTGTGAGATGCGTGAAATAACACGCTTTTAGCTGGTGGACACGACTTTGCACCGTTTCTTTGTCCATAGCTATCTCCCCCATATTCCATCCATTTTACATGAGTAACACTGCAAAAGATAGAGAAAAGTCGAGTGATTATTGTGATACAAGTAAAGTATATGCAAGTTTATTTGGATCAGGAGGTGGAGCGGTGGAGAGTATGTGTGGTGTGAAACAACAGCAGCAAGTGGTTGCAGCGAGATCGTTAAAACCTCCCTTTCTTTTCTCCATTGGTTGCATTCAGGGCATTCATTACCGATCGATGCTTAGACCTTGGCATTTACTTACGGCACGGGTGACTAAAAGCTTTGGAATCTATGTGGAAACAAGGTCGCCATGACAACCGCAATTGGTGCACAAGTGAAGGCATCCATGCCAACGTGTTACATAGCCTTATATCCAACCTTCTCGATCTTCGCAGCAATCAGTCAACCAACATCGTGAATGTCTTTGTTGGTAGTCCTTTTGCTCCAAGGGGTGTGTGTGTGTGCGTGTGCTCAGTTGCTCACCTGGAGGATGCATATGTACTGTGTCTCGTCGCCAACACCAAATCCTTCCATCCACCAATAAAGGTAATTGATAAACCATTGTTCACTCATCCTATGTGTTGATGTAGGGTATCGTACCGAACAACTATGCCCTTGACATGGGTGAATCAGATTCGGCTGTAGCAAATCATGCACGAGACGACGTATTCCAAGTTGCCAACGACGTTGAAGGATCTTCATTACACGCCCTGAGATTCTCTTCCATAGTATACCTTGCATCATCTTTGCTGTCCACACCCTTGACTTATCCAGCATGACCAATTATAAGACACATGACATCATTCGCGATAAAAGGGAAAGCGCGCAGCATCATATCATCTTTGGGGTCAATAAACCTTATGCGATCATCTGGAGGATTATCATTGTTGCTGAATGCCGCGTCTTTGCTTCTTCAATGAACAGCTATCAACATCGTACGTCTTTTATGATTAAAGCATGTTATCATGTGCATGGATCGTTATTCCCAGCAAGCTCGTCTCTTTTTGGATCTTTTAGTGGTTCTGGTTGCAAAGGATGATATAATTATTCAAAGGACTGAGATACTTTTTGAGGCACAAAAGGGGAAATGATTGGCAATGTCTTATATCGTTCAAGTGAAGAATGTAAAATGAGGTGTTACAGCATGAGTGAGAAGGGAGGACAAGAAAAGTAAATCGCACATGGGTCTAGCTTTATAGAGTTGTGGTACGGTGGGATGCATGAGGAAAGGTTACTTGGTAATAGCAAGAGAATGAGATCATCCCATGGCAGATCTCGTGGCGAACGTCCGTGCTGAGTGATTACATTGGTTCCACCATATGTCAACCAACACGTGTATCGCAAAAGTCAGATCGTACCTGCCATGTGCATTTTTTGTGTGTGACGCGTGCCAAACTTGGATGTAAAAGAGAGACCAACTCATTCAAACGAACAATCAAACACAAACTCACCTCTTTTACCTTTCTCCCCCTCTTTTTCTTCCCTCCAAACAAACACTTTCTTTGTAAGTACCACCATACCCCCAAAGCTGTGGTCCTCATGTAAGCTCATGCCCCCATTCCATAGCCTCCATTTATAAACCATGAGAGAGATCATTCACGTTCAAGCAGGTAAGGCTTTAAAAAACAAAGCGTTCCTCGACTTTTATTCATATGTATCTATCACATAACAGGTCAATGCGGTAACCAGGTACGATATGCAGCGACATGCAGCAACACTCCCTTGAGCGAGCAGCCCACCACCGGTGATAGGGGAACATAAGGAGGTGATGCTGATACGATCTTGTGTCTTTGTAGATCGGTCAAAAGTTCTGGGAGACCATCAGTGCTGAACATGGCATCGATTCCACTGGTGCTTATATTGGTGACAATGATCTTCAATTGGAGCGTATCAACGTCTTCTACAACGAAGGTTATCAAGGCAAATACGTGCCCAGGTAAAGGGGAGAGGATGATCCAAGGAGGAGTAAAAAGTATACTAACATGTATACACTATAGATCCGTCATGGTCGATCTTGAGCCTGCCACCATGGATGCCATTCGTAGCAGCACCTATGGCAAATTGTTCCGCCCTGACAACTTTATCAATGCTCAATCAGGTGCTGGCAACTCTTGGGCCAAGGGTTACTACACTGAAGGTGCCGAATTGGTGGAAAGCGTCATGGATGTTGTTCGCAAGGAGGCTGAAAACACCGATTGCTTGCAAGGTTTTCAACTTGCCCATTCGCTTGGTGGCGGTACTGGTTCTGGTATGGGCTCCCTTTTGCTTTCCAAGATCCGTGAAGAATACCCTGATCGTATCTTGAGCACCTACTCGGTGGTGCCATCTCCCAAGGTCTCTGATACCGTTGTTGAACCCTACAATGCTGTACTTTCGGTCCATCAGCTTGTGGAAAATTGTGATGCCACCTTCTGTATCGATAACGAAGCCTTGTATGATATTTGCTTCCGCACCCTTAAGCTTACCAACCCTGGCTATGGTGATTTGAACCAACTTGTCTCAGCTGTCATGTCCGGTGTTTCCACCTCGTTGCGTTTCCCTGGTCAACTTAATTCCGATATGCGTAAGCTCTGTGTCAACATGGGTAAGTTATTACTATTGTTGTTGTTGCCATGACAACATGTGATTGATTTTTCTTTTATAGTGCCCTTCCCTCGTCTTCATTTCTTCATGGTGGGCGTTGCTCCATTGACGGCTTTCAACTCTCAACAATACCGCAACCTTAGTGTGACGGAGCTCACCTCTCAAATGTTTGATGCTCGTAACATGATGGCTGCTGCTGATCCTCGTCATGGTCGTTACTTGACGGTGGCTACTATTTTCCGTGGTCGCTTGTCAACCAAGGAAGTGGATAATCAAATGCTTGCTGTGCAACAAAAGAACTCGTCCTACTTTGTGGAATGGATTCCCAACAGCGTCAAGACTTCCTTGTGTGACATCCCTCCTGTGGGTCTCAAGATGTCTGGTACTTTTATTGGTAACAGCACTGCTATCCAAGACTTGTTCAACCGCGTCAACGAACAATTCACTGCCATGTTCCGCCGCAAGGCTTTCTTGCATTGGTATACCGGTGAAGGCATGGATGAAATGGAATTCACTGAAGCTGAATCCAACATGAACGATCTTGTCTCCGAATATCAGCAATATCAGGAAGCTACCATTGAAGAGGATTACGAGGAAGAATACCTCGAGGAAGACGAAGAGGAATATCCCATGGATGAAGAGTAAATCCATCTTTATATCGATCATTCATCACATACACCACACACACACACAAGCATTTGCAGTAATTCTCATGATACACACACATCTTTTCAGTTAGTTCTTACCCAACACACACACATTTTGCTTTTCTTTATTATTGTTCATCAAGGAAAAATACAAAGACTTCCATAATTCAAGTTGCATTTTATCAACCATTATAACTGCTTCCTCGTGATATATCACATGCTTCTTCTACTCTTTTCTTGACATGGTTCCAGAAACTTTCAAAGGCATCACGATTTTCTCCTTTTGTCCACTTGCACGTGAGATGGCAGCCATCGTCCTTGGTGCCCTCTTCAATCTCCATTTGAAAAAAGAATAACGGGGTATCCTCCTCTTGAATCTTTTGCTTCTTTTTCAATTGACGTCTTGCAGCTCGTGACCAAGTATTTGCTCGTGGTGCACCTCGAATAGGCTGGTCTTGGAATGTTATCCTGAGATCCGAGAGAATGAACTCCACTTGTTGTCGTACATAGTCAGCTGACTTTGCAACTTGCAGTGTAAATTGCGACTTGGGATGGTATTCATCGATGGATTGTGCATCATTCTACAAAAGCAAAACGCCGTGGGATTAGTAACAAGGGAATCCCAAGTACCTGAATCAATAACTTACGATCCTGACAGATCCAAAGGACCAAGCAATTGCCCAACGTGTCGTTTTGCCTTGACAAAAACTCGTGACAACATAGTTTGTGATCTAACAATGTGGCTCAGTTATATACATTGCATCATCCTCATGCTGTAGGTACTTACATTGTTCGCTTTGAGCTTTTGAGTGATTGGTTTGATTGTCTTTTTTAATCCAATAAGACTGGTATACCACCTACACATACGAGTTAGCATTCTACGTCGTCTCAAGGCCATAGAATGATGATGATATTTACATGATTTGATCCTTGTACTCGAGACTTTCATTGATGATTTGACCAATAAATTGTAGTTCACCACCTGGTGTGATCATTTCGTTTGTTGAACCTGTGCAGATCTTTATCAAAATGAGTCGATGTGTAATTCACTAGTTTTCTCATTGTGCTTACCGAGGATGGCTCCAATTCCTTGTTTTCCAAGCCTTCATCTACCTCTTCTTTGGACTCGTAGAAAGGAGGATTGCACATGCAAAACGCGTATTTCCTACCATATGGCCTATTATCAACCCCATCCCTTGTTCCTGATCCATAATAGATTTCTATACCTTGTATCTTCAAGCATGAATATGCGACTTGGGTCCTTATTAAGGCGAAGGCTGATACGATCTTGTAATTGGTTCCATTCCACGTTCTCTTTTGCATAGTTCATGGATGCTTCATCGATTTCTATTCATGGCGTGTGAGTATCCAATCAATCATGTATTGGAATCATCCATGGTTACCTGTTCCTAGGAAATGCCATTTTGGATTGCGAGCACACCCCAAAAGAGGATAAATACAAGACGCACCAACACCACTAAGCATCCTTCATTGAGTCCTCAGCCAACCTTTTTTCGCATAGGTTTCCACCTTACATATCAATCCCATGAACTGGCTCAGATGAAGGCGGCATGGTTTCTTTCAAGATGTCTTCGATCCAACGAATGTAAGCAAGTCGGCCGGGTACTGGTGGACAAAGTCGATCATGCGGGAATGTCACATCCAAAGAGAAATGATGTTTAAGCAAGCACCAATTCAACATCCTAGTAAAATGCCATGGTTACTACTTGCTATCTGGTTTGAGCATCCTTGATCCTTACCGTACAGCTGCAGGGTCCTTGAATTCAATGCATGGCCTGCCCTTCCTATCATATCTTACACTATATGGCGTATGAGTCAATACCATCCATAGATGTATAGATGTATACAATGAACTTACAACTGCCTGAATGATGGATATGCTTCAGCAAGCTCTTCAAACTTGGGTGGGAAGCGAGAGAGGTCTTCCAGCTGCTTCTTGTCCTCGTCTTCTTCCTGCTGCTGCTGTTGTGGAAAACTCGCTTCATAAGATCGCTTCTTGTCACTGGACATTCTGGGTTTCAGCTTCGAACTTCAAAATGCGTAAACTATTCGAGAATGAGTACCATGACGGCGCGAACCAGATCCGCAAGGACCACAAGAACATGTAATGCTTACTTGGAGTGGTGAAAGAGAGAGAGAGAGAGAGAAATAGATAGGCTGATTCGGTTATTGACAGTCTCAATCGCTTGCGATCGATCGAGGAAGACGCTGCATTTGTGAAAGAGATCGCCGCCCTTTTCCCGTCCCTCCCTTTAGTAGGCAAGTTGAACTTTTGTGTGCGTATCCATAACAACACATGAGCTTATTTTTGTTTATTGTATACAGCAAATGAGAGATGTGGATCATGGTATATCGACCCAACCGAGGTAAGGGAGGGGGAAATCCTATGCAACACAGAGCAATTTGGTCTAATGGTATGGGATATAGCACAAGGTGCATTCAGTGTACTTCAAGTCCACCGATGGCCATATGGGACAATGGGATTTCAATATGCGTCGAAGTAACTTGCATCTTTTGGATATCCTTGGAGAACATGGCGGGTAAGTCATGTGATTGAAAATCCTCCTTGTGGATCATCGTTCCTCATGCATACCTTGACATAGTTGCATCATTGTCGATTCGACACGACGTGGAAAGCGTATACCTGATTCCTTATCCAAAACCATCCCCATCTGGTGTAGTACCTTTAACCGGGCCATTGCCAAGCATATCAACCTTTCTTGGGATACCAGCTTTCATTCATTACCATCCGCTGTATCACGCTCTGAACATGCACAAATTGAAGCAAGGATAGATGAATTTGCACAACGTTTACTGGTATGCTATATTATACACCCACACACACATACGTGTAGAGGATGACAACTTATATCATCTCAAAGCGATCAGGCACGATTGATATGGATCGTATATCGAGCATGTTGAAGAAGCCGTTACGACCTCTTTGGTATACACCTCAATCATCCATTTTTATCAACGATCTACCCAATTTCGAGGAGCTACCTTTTTGGCCGGTGATATGCCTTAGTGCATCTCAAGCAGTGGAATCAGGATGTCAAGCTCGTCCAGGTTATCTCTATGTGCAAGGATCAGGGGATGATCAAGAAGCTTGGTGTCATGTGAGTCTTTTTGGATGTCATTTGTTGATGATGAAGGAAAAAGTTAGACTAATGCATTGGAATAGGGATTAACACCTCGCCTTTTTTGGCAAAATCGTGCCTTGCTCTTGGGATCGGGTAGCGCAGCCGAATGCGAGAAACATGCACGTCAGCTTGCAAGAAGTAATGACGCGGAGGAGGAAGAATCATCATCATCAGCATCAGCATCCTCTTTCAACTACATTGGGCATACGAATATAGCTATTGGATCACGATTGAGTGGCAAACCTCCAAGTTGTTGGGATACATTTGACGTGGTGATCAACTGCACGCCCTTGGAGTATGAAGACAACCGAAAACACAAAGGATATTATTTGCAATTGCCTATTCCCGAAGGTAAAAGGGGACAACAAGCCTTATTCGAGTCGATCCCAACTGCACTTGCTTTTGTTCATGATCATTTGGTGAAAAATCGGCGTATCCTTATTCACTGTGCAAAAGGACAAGATCGCTCCGTGGGTATTGCATTAGCCATCTTTGTCAATTATTTCGATCTTCAAGGTATGTAAAATATGACCCACAATAGCATGTTCATTACAACATGACCACTAACATGGCCGATGATTAGGCAATCTTTCTGCAGAACAAAAGCCATATGGTAAGTGTTTGGAGGAGGATAGGGGTTGTATAGGTTTGCTGATTTTGCATGTTTTTGGTCTAGTGAACAAGGAAATCATCCAGGAACACCTTATGAGGATCATTAGTAGTCGCCCTAAAGCTTCCCCCTCTCGTGCAACGTTAAAGAAAGTAAACACTTTTTTCATGAGCTGATCCCATTCTATCCTTTCCCAAATTGTGTCCTTGTCCAAATGATGAATGCTCCATTGATCAAACAAGATGTTGAAGATAGCTTTATAAAGCTACATAAGACTTGAAACAGTGTATGTATGTGCGAACGTCAAATGATTGGTTTATTCAAGATGGGGCTAGAAGGCTCTTGCGCTCTATGTGCATGATCTTTAGGCCGACTTCTTGGCAGCGGCAACGGCGCTGTTGACAGCAACGCGACGCTATAAAACGCATTTCCTCTTTAGTATCCCATCCATGTATCACGTGTACCAATACTACTTTACCTTGTTCTTGAGCTTTTGAACCTTGAAGCGATCAAAGTCGGACAAGTTGGCACGAACTTGGCGTTGAGCGAGCTTCTGAGCCCAGGCGGACTTGGCCCAAGTGTTGAGAGTGTCGTTCTTCTCAAGGCACTTCTTGACGGTGCTTTGACCAGCGTTACGGGGAAGACCCTTGACAACGAGGTTGGTGAGAGTCAAGTGACGAAGAGTCCAGGCCTGACGAGCGACACCAGTGGTGGGACCATCAATGAGAACCTATAGATGAATCCATAGATGTATATATATAAATATCGTGTATATCGTTTGCCGTCATTGTATCGATTGTATGGGTGTGTGGGTGTGTGGTGTGTATATGAATCGGCTAGGTGTATTGTACTTACACGCTTGTGGTCAACAATGTCGATAATGACGGCCAACTTGTTGTTGTTGAGGAGGACAACACGGCCAACTTCAACTTGACGCTTGAAAGAACCTTGCTATAGATACAACAACGTTTAATCCATCACATCCATCCATTGTATACATTCATCCATCCATTCATTTCATCCATCCAATACCACTCTCATCCCATTCCTAAACATATGCAACACGTACCACCATGGTGATTAAGGACGTACGGAAGGAGAGGGAGCTTCTTGTGCTTCATCCACATCTTGTCATGGAAGCACGACCACCGTATTCAACTCCGGTTACTTTATATGGAAAGTCTCGCTCTACTACAACTACTGCCATGGTGATGCGCTTCCCCCTGCATTTTTCTTCTCCCCAAGACTGATAGCTTACCTAATTAAAGATGCCAAGCATTTTTCTTACAATATGACATGCCTTCTTTTTACGGAAATTTGCTTTTTTATATATACAATTTTACAACAAAGGGGGGGATTTCACTGTACACGGGCTAAATACAAGTAGCGGGTGAAAGAATGTGTTTGACACGCCACGGGGTTAGGCAATCGATGCATCAACTGTTTTGGTTGCCATGGTTGCTTAATGGTTGTTTTGATTTGCATACGAGCAAGGAGAGCAGCTGTTTGTTTCAATACATCAGGCACCACGCGAGAATCCAGTTCATCCAGTGCTTGGTTCAACAAACTTGCAACGTGCTCATCCAATTGACTTCCAAGTTCTCTGCTATGATTGATCAAGCATGCACTAGGCACTGTGCTATTGTCTTGTTGAGATGGGCAATGTTCATCAATGCTACTACGAACCAGCGCAGCAAGAGCAGTGGGGTTCAATAAAGGTTGAGCGACAGCATCCCACCAAACGGATGGTAGTAAAGTGCCTTGCAAGTACGATTGCACACCTTCAATCACTTGAGCCTTGAGAACACCATGATCGACATTGTCATCCTCGTCACGTGGGTCCAAGTCCAAATCAAGATGATCCTGCAAAAGCATCGTGCTTACTTGTGCATAACTTTCAGACGCAAGCGGTTCAAGATGATCAAAGTGCCAATGAGAAGCCATGTGTTGTGCAAGTCGATCCACTTGCACCCAATCATCGTTCACAAGCGGTACGCCTTGAGTAGGAGGAAAGTAAAAACCGATAATCATCCATATCAGCAAAAGAAAAAAAGACGATGATGCCAGCATCATGTTGTTGTTGGTAGTAGTATGTGTGAGATTGGAAGAAGAAATAACCTGTCAAAGCAGGTCAAGGGAATCACATTTTTGCTTTTATATACAAATGCCCCTACTTAATTGGTCATGCAGGATAATGATAATCATTGTATGTGCGGCGAGTAAACAGGGGGTGTGGATATCACACTAAGTGAGGTAAAAGGTAATTTGTATCTTAATTGACGGAACACATTCCCGAGTAGAAGAAGAAAAAATTGTACATAATTGATCCACAAAAAAGAGCAATGCTTTTCTTTATTCCAACACACCACTAAACAATTTAGTTCATGGCCTGGACGAGCTTGTTAATGTGTTCCTCACGGTTACCATAGTCACCACCCTCGATGAAGTGGTTGAACTTGCGAGTGTGCCACATGTTGTTGGGGTTGGAGAGCTTGAAGGGCCACAAGAAGTTGTTGGCTTCCTTAAAGTGGGGACCAACGGTAGCGATCTCGTGGATCAAATCCTCAACACAGATGATGTTGTACTTGCCAAGAGCAGCCTCAATGACAGAGTTGTCGTGGATGGGGATACGTTGGCCGTTGACCTTGGCGTAGCCACGCTTGTAGATGACTTCACGGATGGTCTTCAAGTTGGGGTAACCATAGGTGACATAGGGTTGGATCAATTGAAGCATCTCGCTGGTAGCCTTGTTGAGGCGGATGAAGACACCGTTGTTGATCTGCAAAAGACGGAACAATTGCATGACCTTGCGGGGCTTGGGAGGGATGTTGTTGATACCACGGATACGGACAACAAAGACAAGCTTGGGTTGAGCAGGAACGTAGTAGTTGCCGTTGGACTTGGCTTGACGACGGAGAGCAATTTCCTTGCGCTCGTTGCTCTCGTACTCGTTGTGGTACTTGCGAGCACGCTCAAAGATGTCACGACGCTTAGCACGTTGGGCCTGTAATAAGAATCATTCAGGTTAATTCATTGATCCCAAAATCATTTCTCATTCTCCTTTGCACACAAAAAAGATCACGTTGTTTTGTCATCAGCCCCGAAAGATGGTTAACGTTTGACAGCATTGCTTTCAAGCTAGTCAATGGGTTTGACCCCGGATATCATCACCATGACAACGAAATCTTTTTTCCCAAATCCTCCCTCTACTTGCCTTCTTGAGTTCAGCCTTCTTAGCAGCAGCTTGCTCAGTGGCCTTGGCATCAGCCTTTTGCTTCTTCAAGAGAGTCTCGGGGACTTGAACGTCCTTAACGGTGGGAACGGAGCTATACAATAACAAAAAAGTTTAGTGAGCCATGTCTATAGAGTGATGGTCCACTGCTTGGTTTCCATGACGACTGCAATGTGCCAATGCTGGGAGTGTTGGCGATGCAAGTTGCTCGAATAAGGACGCGCAAGTGGAAAGTTGATAGGACAGTGGTGGTAATGGTAGTGGTGGTGGAGGTGGTGATAGTAGTAACGATACTCACTAAGCGACCATTATTGCACCGACGTGGAAAGAGAGGGATAAAAATTTTACTTGGCTCGCCCGAAGAAAAGAAGTTGAACAAGCCACACCGACGGCAACTCGACCCATCCGGGCCCGACCCCGAACATAACGTAACCTTGAATAATGTATAGATCAACCGTTGTATGATAAAGAGTGAACGGTGGTATATACCGGTTCACGACAACACACTCATGGTACCAAAATTTTTTATCAATGCGTTGGATGTGTCCTTAAGCCTATGGTGGCGTAAATGATGCACGGAAACCAAGATTTTATTCACCAGGAGGAATAAGCCGCCTAACTACCACAGTATGTTGGTAAACTAGTAATAAATATAAGCATTGATACTTTTAGCAAAACATTGAGCGCATTTCAATGTCATACATGTGTACTTTCTAGTGAGTGCGTTATGGATTAGATAGTACGGGGTTTCCTGTGAAGCTCTGGGAAAACAGGCATCCGTCGTCCCTACATCAAGATGGACATGAATAGTCAACATTGATAGCATATTAAACATCGATAATCTTCTCATGCGTACGTAACCAAGTAATGGCAAAGGCCTGGTGATGATTTCTTCAATTACTCCAATAGAAGTGTGGGGTACTAGAATAAACCATGATAATCATTGTCGAGGTCAGGGATACTAGGTCAGGTGTAGTAGCAGAGCAAAAGTTATCTTGGCTTACATACCACCTGGGACAGGTCTATAGGAGACGATGTCTCCCACATAGCGCTTGGTGCTTCGATGGCTCGTGAAGACATGTCGATTATGAGAACAAGAGAAAAGAAAAAAGATAAACTATGTATGTGAAATCTTTATGTATATAGCTGATCATCATGATATCATTTCGGGGTATAGGTCATTGTGAGAAGAATGATGAATTCATCAGCAAAGACTCATTGTGTGATGATCGATGGTAAAGTTAACATGTTATTGCTTATTCAGAGATATCCTTTGGTGAGGCGTTTTGGACCATTATGCAGCTGATGCGAAGGATGCTATTGGGATCAATCACTGGCGGATGATTGTATGGTGCAATGGTATGAAGAGAGCGTGTGGTAAAAGTATGATGGATGCTGACTTGGGGCACTTGCTTTTCGATCAGGACGCTAATTAAGGAGGGTACGCTATGATATGGAATGGATTACTATGATGAAAATATGGACGTGCTAAAGGTAAACTAAAAAAAGCGGATACTGCAGCAGCGTATTCAACATGAGCTTTTGCATAGACACCGAGTGTGGGTGTGGACCTTTCGTGTATATGGCAATCATTGGTAAATGATGATCCGTTCATTTCTTCAACGCCTACCAACCTCCTCTTTTATTATAGTACGTTGGCTATTCAGGAAGCTACCTATCTTCTGGTCCTTGGGACTATCATGGATGATGCTGTCATTGGATGTCAACATGTCTTCGTGCATACATGGCTATTATTGGTAAATAGTGATTCGGTTATTTGTTCGAGGGCTAATACTCACATGAAACCTCGCATTGTCATTATCGGTTCAAGTGTAAAGGATATTGTCAAGGCACAAATTAGGAACAATGAAAGGAACGACCTTCTCCCACTTCCGCTTCATAACGATGCAAGGTAAGACCAACTCCATTTACACTCTCCACACCACTAACTTCTGGCATTGCCAGCAATGCACACCGTCAATGGGTGAACAAGTGGTCAATGGCGACACATTCAGCTACAACAAGCACGTGCGCGATCTACCCATGACACAAGCTTCCATTCCAATACAACAAGTAAGTTCAATCGCTGCAATTCCTTTTATTGTTCAAGTCGAATATTGTGGTACTAAAGTTCGCGTATAGGTTGGTGTTGTCTCGTCTATACAAGACCCAATGAGGCGTCGTGTACATTCCTTACCGAGTTGTCCACAATGAGAGTTCTCAAGACGTCTTTACATTGCCTCTTTTGGGTATGCTGACAACAAAAGCGTGTGGGTTGGTTTTATTTGTTATCTCACATTGCGTTTATGGTAGGTTGAACATGTTGGATGATGGTACCTCTGGCAGCAACAGGATACGGATCTCAAAGCAAGAATGCTGTATGGTTGGCTCAATGGTATGCGTGGTATTGGATCTACAAAGCGAAACCTGTTAATTAACACGACTTACAGTGAAACAGCAGCAAGACAACATGGATGACATGGAGATACGGCTTTATTTGAGACAATGATGCTATTGAGAAATACCACAAGGTAAGAGGTTCATTGTGGGATTGGTTGGATTCAAGTGGACTTACCAAACGCCATACAGTGGCAGAGCCTCTTTCGGCGATACTATTATTATCAAGGCTGCACGTCAAGGATGTCATTGTATAGTACTGTGCTCTCCTGGGGAATTTTGGCCCGGAAACAGTGTGACTCAAGATGCGATGGCAAGGCCAATTTGAAAAGGCATCCGCTGTGCACACGGCCTCCATCCAAGTACGGCTATTGATTTCCTTGCCTACAGAGAGAAGGTGGATATCTCTTATGATGCCAATTTCAGGATCCAATGAGAGTATAGTACATATGGTGGCATACCTTGGCGCTGCAGGTTGATTATTGTATTGCCTTCGGATGGTGTATTTGGTTGCAATTCCTTGTGATCACCATGGTTCAGGTATGTAGGACTCTCGTGCTTTTTGGAGACCTTTGCTGAAACGCCTACCATTGTTTAGAGGGACTATTGCAGAGAGCTGCTTGTCTTTTGGTGCTTTGGAGCTTACAAGATCACAGCTATGATTGCTAAGTATTGTTGGATGAGTTGGGACAATTGTTTATGGTGCATCTTTTATAGGTGAATCATGTCAGCCATGGGGAAATGTTTATGTCTTTGGTGGTGTCAACCTTTATTGCGTCTCGGGTGGTTGGTTACCAAGCAACGGGCGATTTCTCTGGAGAAGGTCAGCCAATGCAAGTCTCTTGCGAGTGGATTGTATCAGCAACAAACAACAGCATGCATATCTTTGGTGCCATATCAACCCTCATCCCATCATCCATCTGGTGCTTCCCATTATCTGCAATTCGGTGGGCATCCTGAAATGAAGGTCTCTTATCGATTGATCACATCAGCAACAAGGAACAACTTGTATATCTTTGGTATCAGCAAGCTTTCTATCTCTTGGTGGTTCTGGTTATTGGCGATTCCTTTGGTACGCGGCTGCTATTAAACGCCTCTTATGGATGGATCATGTCATCAACAAGCAATGAGAGCCCGTGTCGACATCTTTGGTGTTACCAAGATCATTTATGCATCTCCTCAAGGTATTCATCGTCAAGCTGCATTCGATTTCCAATGAAAAACGATTGCCATTCACATCGCTCTTTAGCCATATGTACGTCACTCCGCAGCTAGGATCTGGTTTGGGCTTTTCGATGCACAATGCTTTCTCGATTTGCATGTGGTCTTGGGCAGCAAGGATTGTCTCGTTGTCTCTCTTTGTAAGGGCTCTTCGGCATCATGTAAGTATGCTATCTTTGGTGGTATCAATATCACTCAACCTTCTCACTGCATATGCCCATAAAGTATCGTTCCATCGCTTTCAAGCCGAGTACCACCGTAGCGGGCCTTATCAACAAGTGGACGATTGCAAAGAACCGGCTGGATTTGGATATCATCAGGATTGCGTGCATATGACTATCATTGGTAAATGATGATCCGTTCTTTTCTACAATGCCTACCAACATCCTCTTTTACTATAGTGTGCGGACTGTTCAGCAAGCTACTTGTCTCGTGGTCATTTGGGATTTTCATGGATGCAGCTGTCATTGATGTCAACCTGTTTTCGTGCGTATGGCTATCATTGGTAAATATGGGATGATCCGTTTTTTGGCTCCAATCCTAACCAACCTCCTCTTTTATTATAGTATGCGGGCTATTCAACAAGCTACTTGTCTTCTGGTCATTTGGGATTGCTATGGATGAAGCTATCATTGGTAAATAATGATCCATTCATTCTTCCAATGCCTACTAACACCCTCTTTCATGTGGGCTATTTAGCGAGCTACTTGTCTTGTTCCTTTTGGATTCTTGATGGATGCAGCTATCATTGGATGTCGACAGGATTTCATTCATACGGCTACCATTGGTAATTGGTGATCCATTCGTTTCTACAACGTCTGCCAACCTCCGCATTTATCATAGCATGTGTGCTATTCAACAAGCTACTTGTCTTATGGTCCTTTGGGATTTCTATGGATGCAGCTATCATTGGATGCCAACATTGTGGATATCAATAAGAGCAGGATGGCTACAGGGAGACATTCCTCGCAGGACCTTTGGAGACCAGGAGCTGGATGGCCAAGGTAAAGGGATGGAATTTGGTACTACATCAGTTTAACCACCATGATCTCTTTCATGCAGTAGTATGCAAACAGCTGCGGGTCGTTTTATGGGATCATCAAGAATCAATCAGCTGCACCACCACTCGTACCCAGATTGGCACTACCCCAAGATCACCCTCCACTCGTAGCGTCATTACATGTCATTCTATTCCAACATTACATACATGAATTTAGACACTTGCTCACCAATAGTGCATTTTTTTTGTGTTTGATCAACTATTTAATATTGTGGCATTATATGAGATGGTGTAGATGGGAACCTTAAAAACACAGTTACCCTTGATTTCATGGGTGCGGATTTCATTGTTCGTCGCTGGGAGGATTGTTCACCTCCGTGAGTTTAATTGTAACCACCTCCAAGCGTACACCTGCACATGCTAATTTTGTTATGCGTCGCTTTTTATCCAAAGATGGAATTGTCGCATTCGTACAATCTGGATTCAATGTATAGAATGGGTACCCCTTTTATGATTACTATGAATGTCCATTTATAGTCAAAGCCTATGGTTTTATACATGATGATGCATACGTTATAAAGTACAAAGACCTAGCGGTTTTATTCTCAGTAACGCATAGCTGCTAGTACAAGAGCGTATAGAAAGCTATGGAAAGTACGTGTTTACATCGCACCATTTTCACTTTTAACCGTGTACAGTGGATAAAAAGCGACTCACAAGGAAATTAGCATGTGCAGGTGTACGCATGGTAGTTAAAATTAAGCTCATGGAGGTGAACAATCCCCGCCAGCAGCGAACAAAGAAATCCGCTTGGCTCTCACCCTCAAAATCAAGTGACCTTAACCACGAACAAAGAACATGCAACCTTGGAAAAAGAATCAACAAAGAACCTGTTATTCCTAGAAGGAGTTTCCCTAGATAAAAAGAGCTGCCATCAGCTCTCTTTCTCGTTACCTTGATCAATTCTTCGTACATATTTCTGTTGCCTTCATCGATTTATCCACATCCATACATACAGGTATGGCGACACATACATCGCCTTTTTATCGGATCATGAAGGCAGTATTTCTCATTTCATCTTGATAGAATGGCTGCAGTGCCACAGCAGCAAGAGGGCATTGATCGAACAGAGGAAATCAACAATGTATTCGGCGGCAATGTACGTAACATACGCGGCTTGAATCGTACATGCGACATTCGCTCTATATTACGCCCCGAGTACCAGTATTTACGGGTAAGTGATAATGATTGATCGAATGGCTGAGGTTATACTTACATACATTTGTTGTCCAACATAGGGTACCTTTATTACCATTGCTGAGCAGCACAACATTCTTTCTCGAGATGCCTATAATCTCATGAACATGCATGTCAGGAGGTTTATGCGTGCCATCGGTGATTATGACGAAGAAGACAATTGGGCTCCAAACTTTGCCACGATCAATATGCCAGGCAATGGGATCCAGCCTGGACCCGGTGGTCAACAAGTAATGGCTGGACAAGGTCTCTTAATCCCACCTGTTACCAACCAAGTCTTGTGGACATGGGCATACAAGCTCGTGTCCAACAATCCTACGCTGGAGAATGTGGTAAGTGTATATGCTTTTTTTATCACCTCACCAAAATCTAATGCCATTTGGCATCTGAATAGGATATCACAAGCCAAGACCCTGCTGCCCGAGACTTGTTGAATACATACACAAATCACTTTCAACCCATGCAACGAAATGCACAAGGCAATGGTAACAGGAGATATCCGCTTTGCCCGTTACTGTGATTAGATGACTAATTTATTGTAATAGCACTCTACGAGCCACCTGCAATGTATCCGAGACTCCTCTCGACATTAAGCGAGCGCTTTGCAAGAGAAGCGGTGAGAAGTAAGTGACAACAAAAAAGCCATGTTTATGCTAAGCTTTGACCGTTGATTAATCGCATATCAATTTTAAAGACGTCAAGGACATGCTCTGGAGAAACATCCCTGTGTACGTTAGTCGACTTTGTGATGGATACATCAAGCATATGGTTCAATCAGAAACAGATTTTGGTATCTACATTAATCTCAGACATCTCGGTAAGTGCATTTTTTATGACTGATGGCTTTATACCTATACTAATAACGCGACGTTCACCACAGCCCCCATCATGAGTACTGGTATCATAAACCACCAAGCAGATACACCACCACAATTGGCACCTGCGGATGAACATTATTTTACCCAATTTGTTGACGTCTATCAGTAGGTGTTACTTGGACATCTCTTTGCTTACATATATGCTGACTCTATTGATATAGGGAGATACATCAAGCTTGTGAACGGTTTCTCGCTGATGTACCCCTGGTGGAGATGCAAAGTACACCAAGTCGAACCCTTGGCCCGGTACTGGCCATGCGATTGATGAGATTTAGCATGTGGCTATTGTTGCAAGCCGATGGACTCGATACCAGGAGGTGGTCTATACTGCCATTGGGAAAAACCCAAGTTGGGTTTTTTGGTATCGATTTGCGTATGCTTTGGGCAATCCTTCATTATGCACGTGACCAGGATCAAGATGCTTTGGTACCAGCCATATGTCTAAATCAGGTATGTCGATAAGGTGTACTATTTGCCATTGCCATTTCTAATATCTTTACATTACAATTAGCACGGCAATGTCTTAGCAAAACTTCCATTTGATGCAATACTTCAACCACCCCGGCAGAAAGAACTTTTATGGGAAGCGTTATTTAATATCGATTACGTGCAACGCCGTAGGTGGCGTTACTCTGGTAAGCATGTTGGTTGTGGAAATCAAGGTAAATACTAACGTATCAACTTATGTGTAGGCGAATTACCTGGAACTGCAATACGATTTGCTCATTACATGCGTACCGATGGCTTTACAGCCAATGTCATGTTTGAAAGACCTCAACCAAGAAACCTGCCACGTATGTACTTTTAGCAGAAGCACGCTAAATCTTATGCTCACTTTTCTGTTATAGCCTTTTTCCCTGAAATTGCTAAGACGGCTCGTCGCGAGGTGGCGAATAATGCTGATTTGGCTAATATCCACACGGGGATATACATGCTCAATAAGGCCCCTCAAGGACTGAATCAAGTTCGCCTTCAGAACAGCCGACTCGTGGGGATAGATCCTGGTAAGTTATTTATAAGGATTTATCAGACTACGTTTGTATTGACGCCTATATTCTATTAGGAAAGCGCGAGTTTATCACCGGGATTCATCATGAAGAAACCTTAGAAGTACAACCAGGGGAGAATCCTCCAAGATTGAGCGCTGTCGAGATTCGATCAAGGCATTATCAACATGCAACGATGGTGCATTGGGTTTACAAGCACACGTTAGCCAATCGACAAAAAGCCAATATGCAAGAGGTCTACGACCAGCTGGCGCAAGAAAGCCCCAATGTACCAAGATTGAATCAATTCAAGGCACATGTTGCCTGTGTGAGCCGCAACAGCAATAGGTTGGTAAATTTTATGGCATGTACTATGATTGGTATTGACAATATTTATCTATTTCAAAGGCTGCGAGACTTTTCCGCCCACTTCAAGCATAGGATCACTCGAGGGATTCTTTTTTCTGCACGTCAATCATACCAACAAGTAATGATCAATGAGATTTTGGGAATTTCTCCTCCTGATTCACCAGTAAGTTAAAGTTGCTACATGAAGATTACTATTGCTATGACCATGAACTCATTTATTATCACTTCCTTTAGAGAGATCAAGTCATGTTCATCAATAGAACCTCTAAAGCAAAAAGGAGAGGGATGCGGAGGTTCAGAAGACGAGACATCGGGTGGCAACGGCCTGAGCAAGAAACGATTGTTGCGTATGGAGATGCTAGTCTTGGGCATATGCGTGGTTATGCGCCACTTCCCCATTGGGTAAGCTACATTGATAGTTGTTTTTCTCTATGCTTATCTATATCATTTATTGTGTAGGAGTTCATCAAAAGACTTTGCAGACAGGCATTGGTCGTTTTCATCGATGAATTCCGTACCAGTATTACCTGTCGACATGATGGCGCAAATTTGCATCTTTGCTTTGACAATCGACGGCTACATTGCAATCACAAGTATGTGGAGAGAAGAGTTTCTTTTCTTTGTATATACTAATAGGCTCTTTTATTCAAAACATAGGAAGACGAGGAATCGGGTACAGACTGCCCAAGGTACCAGAGGTCGGAAAGTGTTGCATTGCAAGGACGACGATGGTGCTGTGATTGGCCGGTCGAATCTATGCCAGCAGCGTTTTGCAGTCGGTAGGTTTCTTTGGTCGTACAAGGAAGATCGTTGTTCAGCAATTGATATGACGTTGGTTAGGCAACAACACTTGGCGCAATCTGATTTATGCGGTGAAGCGTTGTAATGAGCACGGGGTAAGTTCCTTGCATTTTTTTGAAGCACCAGCTAATATATGGTTGTCTATAGTTCCTTGGCAGAGATGTCAACGCTGCGGCTCAAATGCGGTCCGTATTACGACTGTATATGGAGACCAATGGTGATCTGCAATCTCGTCCTCCCCATCTTAGAAGATAGTCCCCTTGACCCCCCTCCTCTGGTCTCAACATACGTGACCGAGTTTTAGATTTTTGGTTGTTGAATAAATAGCCACACGGACGAATTGATCAGATCACCGACAGCTGTGATTGTTCTCTCAACGTCCACACACTCTATATCCATGCGTACTTTACATATGAACCTTTATCTTACAATAGTGGAACACAATCATCAATACAAAAAGGGTCCGATTTACAACAACAATAAAAAAAACTACAATCAAGCTTCCTCCTCAAAGTTGTTGAAGATCAACAAGTTGGGTGTATCGCGTGGCATGTTCTTGAGCTTGTTCTCAGTCGCACTTTGAATGATCTTATCCTTGATGATCTTTGGCGAGATGTTGTCACCCTCCTCCAAGCTCAAAAAGTAAGCGGCCAAACCAGCAACATGGGGTGATGCCATCGAGGTGCCTGGATAATATATACAATGTCAATACACATCTTTGGATGAGATGTTTTACCACATACCTGAAATGGTGTTGGTGCCATAAAGGCCATTGTTCCATACCGACATGATGTCTTGACCTATTATGCAAACAACGCAATTAGCCATGTGCACTTTTTACGCCATTGCATCCAACTTACCAGGTGCAAAGACATCAACACATTTGCCATAGTTGGAGAAATAGGCACGTTCATCTCGTAAATTGCTTGCACCCACAGTGATGGCCTGTTCGGCAGCAGCAGGCGAGTACTTGCATGCATCACGGTTGTCGTTACCAGCAGCAACAGCAAAGACCATACCACTTTCTACAGCCTATTTTGAAAAGGTTCCGTTAGATCCATACATAAGAAACCTCCCATTTCCATGTAGATGCTTACATTGTTGACAGCTTGATCCAGAGCACGTGATTTGCCACCACCAAGACTCATGTTAGCAACAGCACCCTTGTACTTCTTGCCGGACTTGTTGGCTTCTGATGCATCGATTTGATGTTGTTCAATGGCCCAATTGATACCAGCCAAGACCTCGGAGTTGCTACCAGAACCTTGAGCACTGAGCACCTTGACAGCGACAGGGTTGGCTTGCTTGGCAACACCAAAACGTTTACCAGCAATTGTACCAGCACAGTGAGAGCCATGTCCATTACCATCAAAGTCACCATCAGAAGCAAATGTAGCACCCCAACTAGCACGTCCTTCAAAGTCGACATGTTCTGTGTTGATACCCGTATCAATGACAAAGACCTTGACACCTTCACCGCCATTGGGATCATGTGCGTATTTGCTAAAAGTCCAAAGAGACAAAGGATCGCGATGGGAGATACGTGCAAGACCCCATGGTGCATTACGTTGCAATTCGGAAGCGTACATGATAGAATCCTTCTCCACATAAGCAACCTATATGTATATACAATGTATGTATGTGTGAGATGGATTGTGGATGGTGACACATAAAGTGATTACGTACGTCGGGAGAGCTGCGGATTTTCTTTAACGTTTCCGGAGAGAATTTGCCTGCATATCCACGCCATCCAGGAGTTGCATAGGTGTGTTTGAGACCAGCAGCTGCTTCTGCATCGAGATAATCCGATAACGCATCACGCTTGGACATTTGATGTACCCAATCACAATGCTCTTGTACTTGGCTGGTGTTCACTTGGTCCTTCAAGACAACAATGTACGAATCGGTAATGGCCTCTGCATCAGGGGAATGGTAAAGGGGAGCCAGCTCGCCTTCAGACAACAGGGAATCCAAAGTAGGAAGAGCACTTGCGTATCCAGCAAGCAACAGAATAGAAGAAGTGAGAATGTTGAGTTTGACCATGGCGAATCGTGGGAGTATAAGAGAGAGAGATAAAGGAACCAAGAGTAGCGTCAAGTCGGCCCCATTTATTCAATCCGTCCTTTTGTGTAACCCATTGCGTGATGTCCAATGCTATCACGCATTGATGAAAACAATAGATCCACCTTATCAATTACCAAGTAATAAATCTATTCATGACCCCCATCAAAGTATGGTTACAAGTGGATATTGTGGCATCTAATAGTTGTCATTGATGATGGGGAGTGAAAAGGACACAAGATAAGAAATTGGGTCATTGCTATGACGTAATGAGCCTTAACTTCTCTTCGTCGATGGGCAAGCAGCATTTCCATAGTTACAGGCATCCATATTCTCTTGAAAGGAAGGATTAGCAAAGACACAGTATGCGCGCAGCGATCATGCAACGGGCTGAATCCATCATCCTACATATGCTTGCCGTTTAACAACACCGTTTTTTTCTATAACACAACAAGCTATGTGTATACACGTACAACATAGATCGCGTATAGACGATATCGAGTGCTTCTTCAAAGGTGAGATTATGTAAGTTAAAATGGTATGGCGGCAGCATTGAAGTATGTATTCGGTTGTTGACGCTGCATGTCCTCCTTTTTACCTTGCATAAGGTTCAGGCATCAGTATTTAAAGCACACGTACTATCACCGCTGCTACTATTCCATAGCGCTTTTTCTTTTACCATCATCATCATGATGAAAGTGGCCATTATTTTTGGAGTGTTCTTATTGTTTGCAGCTGTTCAAACACAGGATGAACTTGCGGCGCTAGATGCTTCTACCAACACATGCGTGGGACCGCTGCCGTCAATTCGAGTACAAAATTGCGACAACCAGCCCTGCACCTTTCAGACGCTAATAGACAATGACAAACGCCAGAGGGCCGGTAGGCTTTGAAATTCCATCCATCGAAGAGTTTGATTGTTGACAATATTTATAGCGGCGTTTCGCTCTTGTTCCACGCCTGATAGCGTCGACTGCAGCAAGTTTGAAAGTGATAGCGATGAGTGCCTTCGCCATCAATGCTCTGTGGTCACTTACCTTGATATCTCTAAAGAAAAGGGGGCACTACGTCGTAAGTAATAGCACAATAGCGCATTCAAAAGTGTATGTCTTCTTATTTTAAACGGTGGTTCGCGGCTGTGTTAGGGAGAGAATGCGTCAAGGATGTTCCCAACGCCATAAACACACCTGGACGACCATCTGCTTTATTTGGTCGACCTTGAGGCACTTGCCCATTGCAGAGTGAAACTCCGGCTAAAACACGGCAAAATCAGACATGGTTGTATGGTTCTATGGTCCGGAAGGATTTACAATAAAGTGCAGCAACGCTCTGTAAAGAGAGCGACCAATAATGTGTAAAAGATGAACGTAGCAATCCAAAGGATACATACAATCAAAAATGTCTACCATGTTGTGATCTTTATAGCCAATTTATTGCTTATGTAAACGATGGAGGTGTTCCTAGAGTAGGGTGGTATCGTTTAAGTAATTCAGCCACGTGATACACACATACATAGCATTCAAGGACATGCTTTTCTTTTACATCTTCCTTTCAAGCGTGTGAATCAATGTACGACAAAGATCCATTGTGTACAGTAGGGTTGATAGTCGGATGGTCACTTTTCAGCAGCTCTCACTACAACATTGAAAGGTCGGCTTATACAAACCACCAGTGTATTTGATTCTTACACAAACACCACTTGGAATCACATTTTGACTCTAGTAAAAGCTAACGTTAACGATCCCTTAACTTTTGATTATCCTCATCGATTGGTAAGCTGCATTTCCATAGTTACGGGCACATTCCCTTGAAGGGAAGGATTAGTCGAGACGTAGTATGCACGCAGGATGTCATGCAATTGGACTGAAAATGGATCTCCAGCATACATCATCTCCTTGGTATTTAGCCTCAGCTATATTGTATGGTGAAGGACAAGAGACCTATGTATACGTATATACAATAGATATCGAAAATTTTGGGTTCACACATGTCAAGTGGAAGGCTGGATTATGTAAATTGGTAGTGGATGGCAGCAGCATTATCCCTTTGTTGACGCTGCATGATCTTCTCCTTTTCACCCTGCATTATGTAGATCCAATACGCCCACCCGTCATCGGTATTTAATACACAAGCGTTATCATTAATGCGATTCTACAGCGCTTTTTCTTTCTCATCATCATTATGAAAGTTGCCAGCCTCTTTGGAATGTTTACGGTGCTTGCCGCTGCTCAATCCCAGTCCACTAACACATGTCGTGGCGAGTACTCTTTGGAGCGGTTGGACAAGTGCGGTAACAAGCCTTGCACCTTTGAGATGGTAGTAGGCAACACCACCGAAGGCAGGCCCTCTGGTAAGTTGTGCAGCGCCTTTCATCCAAGAGGTTGATTATTTAAAGTAACCACACTAGGGGGGTATCGTGCTTGTGTCAAGCCTAAAAACGTCGATTGCAGCAAGTTCAATAAGAATAATGAGCAGTGCCTCTCCAATCAATGCTCTCTTGTTATATACACGCATGATCCTACACAGAGGGAGCCAACACGTAAGTGATAGATCGACACCATACGGGCGTAGGACGTTTTTATTAAAGGGTGATTCATGACTGTTACAGCATCAAGCCATGAATGCGTCGCGGATTTCCCCAAAGGCGTATATAAGACGATGGAAATTGATACCTCTAAGTACCCTTGGCAGTTTTGAGGCACCTACCCAAATGAAAAGTTGGCTGTAAGTTGGTGAAAAATCATACATGGCTATACCAGAAACGATTCTATGTACCAAGGTTGTTAAAGTAGTAAACAATAAAGTGTAGAGATCTTACAGCACTAAAGCTAGCGTGATGTGTGGATAAGAAATGGATAACAATCAAAACCATACATAATAAAGGTATCCTTTGTCGTTCTATCATTGAGACACAGGCTCTGTTGCCAAAATCTCAGTAAGTTTAACATTGTTGAAGTGGATATGGTCTTTCTTAAATGCTGTGATCTCGGATTTGCATGAAAGACTTTGAGTCTACACACACGCTGCATATTGTAAAGCTCGACCACAATCCATCCTCGACATCCGTTGGATATCCTATTATGCTCCAACCACAGCAATGTATAATTGAATGCTGTAGCAAATTACCTATTCCACATGGAGGGTAGTACATGGAGGAAAGATGATCAACGTCAATAGGGATAATGATGAAAGAACACTTTCCTCCTGATGCCAATTATTTTGGTCATGAAGGTCATGCATATGATTCTCTATGAAAGTTACAGTCTTTGATGGTCACATAAACGGCAAAAGAAAGAGATTATGAAAAAACCTACCTTGGTGGTGGCATCTTTGTAGTAGTCGAGGGCACGTGAAAATACGCAGCAAGTCTTGTTCGAGGAGGATGATCCGTAGGCAAGTTTGCAATACTACATGGGAACTGAATGAACATGCTGTGGCGTGTGCAACCATTTAAGTGCCCTATATCATATGCCATAAGCGAGCATAAAGTTCTATATTGTGCTTTATTGGGAAATTAAAAGAATCTACATGCCAATTATGTATATGAGTTGCTGCTATATGATAGCTATAGTTGTAAAGCTATGAAAGTCTATCATCTGTCATTTGAATGTATGGGGTTGTGTGGATGCCACTATCATCTACTACATAGGATGTAAGGAATACCGTTCCATAACAGGCTACGGACAGCTCATTAAGCCAAGCAGACGACATTGTGCTGGGTAATTCCCACTTTCATTCCGCTACGTGATACACACACAGCACTCAAGGGCGCTGCCTTCCTCCTACATCTCTCTTTCAACTCCCATATTTCGTCACGATTACGTCCAATTTGTCCAAGCTGGAGAAAACAACGAGTACGGATCACGGTACGTTGCTAGATCGGTTGAGGATTGCCTTGGCATTGATGCGATGGTCTCGTTTCCTTGGCTTGTAGCTTATCAAAGCGACCCGAGATTCCGCAAGTATGTGCAGCTCATTGAGAAGAATCTGAATTCATTTGACGCTGTCAACGAATGGGCGGATATCATCTCGTTCCTTGGTCGTCTGTTGAAGGTATGTCGTGTTGTCTAGTATCAGGAACGAAAACGCGCGCACAGTATCGCTTATGCAGTGCTTGTTGTCCTATAGTCATTCCAAGCTTATCCACAGTTCCCTGTGATACCAAGAAAGCATACCGTTGCCAAGCGACTTGCGCAGTGCCTCAATCCTGGATTTCCTGCAGGTGTTCATCAAAAGACGCTCGATGTTTATGCATACATTTTGGAGACAATAGGGGTAAGCAATGGGAAGGATACATGAAGGTTGGCAACAGTAACATTGATGAGGACGAGAGAGATAGGTTGATCAGCTGGCTGATGATTTGGCAATTTGGTCTCTTGGCTTATTTCCATTTGTACAATATGCAGCAATGCAAGTGAAGGTAAATTTGTTTTTCCGAGGATGTATGCCATTGAAGGTATTCGCATTAACAAGCTTTGTTTGTTAGCCTCAATTGTTGGCAATCTTTGAAAAGTACTACTTCCCTCTAAAGAAGCGATTACGGCCGTCCATGCGTGGATTTATCATTGCGTTACTACCCGCTTTGGATGAGGAAGGGAGTGAATTCTTTGATAAGGTGAGGAACATGAGGATGGGATGATCGTGGGCATTGGAGCGGCTATTGACGAAAGGATTGTATCACGCTATTGAGGTCGTAGTCTTGATGGATCATCTCTCCGAAACTATTGATCTGCCATTTTTCTATGGATGCATGTGGCGGGTCATGGTGAGCAATCCGGGATTAAGGCCACCTGCTTTGAACTACTTGTTAAGGCGATTTCCCAAGATCACAGGAGCTGAAGGTAACTTTATTGGAAGGCTTTCTTACATTTGGTATTCACGTGTGGATTGGTAGATGTGGCTGTGGTGCTGGGAGGATCTGAAAACATCAGCTTGATGGTGCGTGCCTTTGCAGCTACGCTTGGTGATAGCCAATTACTTGTACAACGTGGAATGTTGGAATTGCTCGTTCAAAACTTTACCCTTAAGCATCGGTAAGTAAGGAGGATATTGAAATGGATCAAACACGAAATTAAACCAACCCATTAGTGTCATCCCTCATGAAGACCTTGTCATCTTGATGAAATCAGCACTTTCGATTGTTCTTCGCAAAGACATGTCCCTCAATCGTCGGTTGTATGCATGGCTTCTCGGTGATCAAGGAAACTCACAAGCCAACATCATTTATTTCGGCACATTTGGTGAAAAGGCAGCCACTCAAGCCATTCGTGCATTGTTGTTTTCTTCGACCGACCCTAGTGCACATCGCCTATTGGATCAGGATGCGCTTGTGGTTGAAGCTCAAAGGCCTTACAAAGTCCTCATTTCTTTGTTGGACAAATGGGAGATTGGACAACCTGTGGTACAAAACATCTTTGTGGATGCCCTGATCAGTTTGCAGAAGAACGTACGGCAAAATGCTCGAAGTAGTGAGGTGAGTGACCACAAAATTGGGTGTGTGTGTGTTCAAAGGGCTGACATTGGGAAATTAGATCATGCAAACGGCCAACATGTGGATGGAGATGGTGGAACCCTACTTGATATGGACCAAGCTCTTTGAACTATTTGACAACAGCTTCCCCGGCAAAGATGGTCAATCCAAAGGCAAACGAGGGAATGATCTCGAGAACCTGCAGCTGTTGGAATTCACGCTAAAGTCATTCAAGTTCACCGATGACGAGATTAAGCATATGCATTTACCTTTGGTGGTTGCAGGAATGGCACAAAAGTTACAGGTATTGGTTGACATACAAGGAAGCAATCGGGATGGCAAGGGCTAATGAATGCATTATGCTTCTCTTTAGGATTCAATCCGATGTCCGACATTCATTGACATGTTGCCATTGGTCAATCAATGCCTACAATTGATCCATGTCATTCTCCAACTCATTCCTGAAAATATACTTTGGGATCGTCGACCATCGAGATTACCACCTGCTGCCGAATCAACCGTATCGGACAACAAGAAACGGGAATTCCAGCCTGGATCGGATGTGATTGAATATGTACGCGACTTTTATTGCATACGAGGACATCGACGAGGAGCAAGTAGCAGTGGGACAATAGCTGCTCAAAATGGAAGTCGAATGGATGGTGATTTGGAGATAACTGAAGATGCGGGTGATTTGGCGAGTACTGGGCCGGCTACTTCTGGTGGGATGCCATCCACACAGCAAATCATCAGCAGCCGTCCTCAATTCGAGCCGATTCGTGGATCACAACTTGTTCAAGAATTGACCAAACACATGACACAGTTCATCGTTGATCTAGTCGACAGCTACATTGTGCCACCGAATAATCAAGATACAGGCGTCGATGTGGGAGTGGATGGCAAACGTTTGAGGAATATCGATGCTCAGCTCGAGAAGATCTTGCATGGTGTTTGCTCAACGCTTACCTTTGTCGCCAAACACACCGATGAGCGTTTCACATGGGATAGCAAAGACCAAGAGCAATTGATGAGAGCGCTACTCATGTGTTGTCAAGAAGGCAGAGAATTTGGAATCGTCGATGCCGGTTTATCAACCCTTACTCAGCTCACCAAGCGACCACGATTTCTTAAAGGTCATGAGCTCAATGATAAGACCATTTCGAAGCGTATCATGAATAATGTATGTGGATTTGCCCTATGTTCAAGAAAAAACGTCTTTTTTCTCATTGGCTTTTTATTTAGCTTTGGGGTTTTCTCTCGCCAGTCGCACCTTTACTTCATATGCGTACGGTCGAGCTTATTTGGCTTCTCACCGAAGTATCACCACCACATCAAATTGAAACCATCATTGCCGGCCACCTGATCGTCAAAGATGATACCGAGCGATTCGCCAACTATGAGAAATTCGGCATTATTTGGGAGTTTTCTGAGGACCGTGTTGAAACAGCAACCATCTTTTCACGCCCCATGTTTTTAATACTTGATCTCTTGAATGATGTCACGTCTCCTGTCGATCGTCGAGTGGGTGAAACTTGGATTCGGTGTCATCTCAGAAGCTATGTGCGTCTATTGGAGCCCTTTATCGTCATGCTACTCGACAAAGCAATCATCCGAAGGTCTTGCAGCAAACACGTGCCATACGATCACCAAACATTGTTGGATAATCAGAGCGGAGATGTCTTGATCCCATACTATCTTTACATGCGACCATTTGATATGGCCACGGTGGATTACCTTTTTATGCATCTCGTATCCCTCGTCTCTTTTGGTGCAATTGGTTTCCTGAAAGCATGCAAGAACCATACTGTTGGATCAAGTGGACCCATGCTATCATTGATTGAAGCAGGTCTTGGCATATCATCACAAGAAAATGGTATGTAATGAAGCTACGTACAAAGGAAATGGGGTACTAAGAACGAGAAAACAGATGATGGGACCCAACAAGCTTCCAACCTTTCATTCTTGGAACTATTGGTTTTGATATCACTGAGGTATGGTTGATGCGTGATGATAAGTTATTGGTAAAATAAGCTGACAACGCTCAAATTAGATATTTGGAGACGGAGCCAAACGACAAGTATACCCATTCAATGCTGAAACCAGTACGCAGTATACAACTTCATGCTGCCGAGTTCCTTTATCAGATCATTTCAAAGCTTGATACGATCGATATGAAATTGACGAGATTGATCCAAGAATCGGTTCTCCACAAGTTGCTTTTCTGCATATCAACATGTGATCTCGAATTACAACAAAAGTTGCTACACCTTCTTCATGCAACTATGGCCATTACAGCATCAGCGGCATTAGGACAAAAGACAAGCTTTATTGAGCGACCTAGTCAACGCAAATCATCCATCGATAGCAGCACAGGGGATTCTATGGCACAATATGCAGCCGATACAGTTCCACGAGCATCGATTCCCGTAGGGTCTTTACAGGCTTCAGAGGCAACCGATCTTGCAACATCCTCATCGGCCTTGTTCGTAAAGTGTGTCATTGATGCATTTACGCTTTCGACAAATCGACCTATTCTACAACATTGGATGGATTTTGTACTCGCATCTCTACCTCACATGCGTGGCGGTTTTCGTCAAATGGTGATACCCATTCTTATTGCTATATGCGAGCAAATTGTATTATGCAACACTACGGTGCGTATACTGATGCATGGTGAGCCATCATCCCATTTACGAGCAGCTGAAGATTATGTGCCTCACCAAGATGGGTCCAAGAGTCCCTATCTCCAAGAACAAGGCGCGCTTGTGGGTGGCCCTGAACAAGACATTCTCGTGTTTTTGAATGGATTGGAAAAGACGCTCATGTTTTGTATGACCGAGCGACATCTAAACGATGATTGGTATCCCGACAAAGCGAATGAGCCGCTATTGCCAGTACCTCGACTTGCCGATAATTCGACATTGAAGATCCTTGCACAGCTTGTTCATAGTGATACTTCACCCATCAAATCTCGTGACACAGCATTATATCACTTGCCCATCATTCTTCACATTCTTCTTGACGTATGGCGTGTGTTTCGACAACCTGAGTGGGATGAAGAGACCGCAGATACATTGGGCCATGCAAAAAAGGATGCTGTATTGCAAAGCTTTGCCTATGCTGCGGATCACGTCAAGGCACGGCTTGAACACATCTTTGAACATCTCTACAAGTATTGCAGCATTGATTTTACCGAAGGCTTCACGGAGATCTTTTTCATGGAGAATCCCATTGCTCTTGAATATGAGGTACGGTAATAGAAGGAGCTGTCATTTACAAATGTACTTATTATGCTGCTTCTTTAGGCCACACCCCATCAATATGAACTGATTGCGATTCAAGTGCTTGCTGCAACACCCACCAGCTCTCCTCAACACATCCTTTCAACCCTTCTTGAAGGTATCCGGCAACGTACTCCAGGCATGCACGTGCATCGTCGACGACATATACAACGCATGGGCAAACTGTAAGTTTTATTTTTTTTATCGTATACAATGCAATACTAAAGAAGGATTTATAGTACCGACACATCCATCTTGCGATTTGCTGAAATCTATTGCAGTAATCTGATGAAGACGGATACGCTGGCTCATCTATGGCCGATCGTTCATTCATTTGCCAAGGACTATTTATCACAAGCACAAACATACAAAACCATCCTCCCTGGATTGATGCGCTTTCTTACTGTGGCGGTCGATGGGGTGATGCGTTCTTCCACCACAGATGATCGAAAGGCTAAACGTGATGCACAAGATTTATATCAACGATGCGTGGACTACTGTATCCTTATCGCTGGAAGGTCATTTGATCAAGGCTTATGGTTACGTCGATCCAATGTATACGATGAGGAGGATGGTGCAATGACGCCTACCGATACGATTTCATTATCAGACACAATGAGTGATATCACACGGACCTTATCAGCCAGCAATGTATCCGAATTGGAGAAGAAAGCTAGCTGGAAGTCCCGGGAAGATGTGATGATTGCACAAACCAATACTTATCTTGCTACGGTGGTGATACCCAATTTACGGCATCTCATTGGTGATCAGGATCGTATCAACTCTTTACTCAATAACCTCGTTTATTACGTTGTCGGCCCAGCTTTAAGGACACGCACCACGTAAGTCATCCATCCACAATCAACAAATTCAAAGGTACTCATCCTTTTTTATATCAAGGTTCAACAAGATTGCCGTTATCCTTGACCAGATATGCGAAATGACACACATGCCGTTCACTTATAAGACGTGGAGGAAGGAAGTATGGGACGTTTTCCTTGACAACCGGTTATTCTATATGAGTGCAACCACAGCCAAGAAATGGAGGACAATCATCCAGACGGTGTTTACACTTGAGAAGGAACGATTCACCGAATTGGTTGGACGTATCACGACATCTCCATCCACCGCTTTCTTTACCAACAAGGACCAAGAAACGCTTAACCGAGGATTGAATTTAAGGCGATTGGCATATGTTATATTCTGTGGCAACCAGGATCAATACGTACCCCAGCTACCAGTCATCCAAGAGAAACTTGTCGAGTTGCTCAAGCTGGATCACAGTGAAATGGTTCATGTGGAAATCTATCTCTTCTTAAGGATTATGTTGGTGCGCTTTTCACAAAAGCATTTGCTCAATTTCTGGCCCGTGTTGATTACAGAATTGGTAAGCAATGAGTTTGAGCGATATGGAGCATGATATTGATCAAAGATGTATAGATGCGGATGTTTAATGCCTTCTTGGGAAATGGTGTACATGATCGACCTGAAGAAGCACAAATCGCATTAGCTGGCTGCAAGTTTTTGGATTTACTATGTGCCCTTGAAATGGATGCCTTTCAAGTGTAAGTATATATGAACGATTGGCACGTTATGGATTTAAGGCTAATGGTATCATCTCTAAGATATCAATGGATTTTTATCCGTGATACGATCGAACCCATGATGGTGCGCACGAAGGACCAAGGACCCATGCCCATATTAGACCTGTTTGCTGAAAAGCTTGCCAACCAAGAAGACACTAGCATGGACGCCATTGAATTTTCGGGGTCATCTGTTCCCTCCACCGGCCAACTCAAGAGACCCATGTTGACCATGCGTAGCATTAGTAGTGTTCAACAACTTGCATTCTTTGTGGATCACGTGGGATTATACGCCTATCAATCATCATTTACCCTCGCCAAACCCGACATGCCATTCATAGAAAGCTTACTCCAAACCGACCTTCTGGAAGGTGATATTGAAAGCGATTGAATAAAACAACAGGACACCATCATGCATCTTTCCCTGTAATATCGATTGCTGGAAATGGCACGTGGTAGTTACACACGAGCGTCCTTGACAGGTTGTTGCACAAATGGATCGTGATCATGATTGCCTTGAGGAAGGTAAATAAGTATACAACATCCAATAGTGAAGGTGTGTCAAGATTTGTGTATGGCAATAATGGTGGCTCCATATCGCATTTGGATTCTGTGGAGTGTCGAGCTGCATAAAAAGTGATGCGCACGGACCATGCTTGATGCCTTCACAGCCCGGTTAGAAAGTTACGAGGGGCATGCACAATGAAATAAAACAGATAGTGTATGTGTATGTGTTTGATTGGTAATGTAGAATTCACGTTGGCTCAAGAAGAGATCAAACCACTCTTTATTCATGATGCATTCGTTGGATGGGCATTGCTATTTGAGAGCCACATACATCATGCTGGATCAACAACAATACCAGCAGTACACGATGATGATGTATATTAACGATGCTTTTATTCCTGAATACCCTATACTTTTACTACAACCATATTCATCATAGCCATACAAGAACAACACGTTATGGCTTTGGGGCAAGTGGTATTGTATGGAAGCTCCCGACTCAAGCCGCGAAAATCAAAGTCTGGCGCCTTAGCCATTATGAGGTATGGGGGTGTCCATGGAGACCCCTCAATTTTAAGTTCAGCTGCGTCGCGACCAGAAACAAATTGCTGCGGATCACCTTGGCAACCTCCACCTTTTTCTTCTCAACTCAATCGATCGATTCGCATGGCGTGCGTGCTTTTCCTACTATCACGATGTTTTGGCCAAAGTAAGTTGTTTCTATCTTTTCGTTGTGTTACTTGTAATACTCACATGCCTTGTTTGCAGCGACTTGGAGGACCTAATGGTGTGCATTGGAAACGCTTTGCCCCCTCACCAGCCCAGTTTCCACACAAGGCTTCCATGAATCCCAGCAGATCTTGATACGGAGGTAGCGAGGATGTTGGCCATTCCTCGTAAACTGGCTGCCCACTACGTGTCGGCGTGTTGTATGGGCGTTTGGCCGAGGACGAAACGCAGACCGGTAGCAGTGTCCAGGGTGCACTAATAAAAGACCGCTATCCAAAGATACCAACAAGTGGCTCTTGTTTGGGTAATGCCAAAGGATTCATTGGAAGGAAACTAGGAGGGAAGATAAGTATTCTTATTACCTATTTGTTTCTCGCTCACCAAAAACATGCTACACTTTTCTATCTCAAAGACACAAGCATGGGTTTCTTCCAAACGAGGTTTTGGCGCGTCAAGTCCCGGCACCTTAAAGTGGCATGTACAAGCGGCCTCGTCGACCTGGAATTGGTGCCTACAGGTAGAGGTTGGGGATGGTTGAGTAGCGACCTTCTCGTTGTTCATCCCTGTGAGTACTTTAGCCTTGGCTTTAGGAAACCAACAGCTACTTGTTTATTCTAGTACATATCGTAATCATTATTAAACCATGCTCTTTGATTAAACATACATCCTTGTCTTTGCATGTCTGATAACGCACTATCATGTAACGTTTGGCTGATCTTCATTGTACGTAAATTAAAAATGAAAACTCACGATCCAAGTGATGTTGTTATGGCGTGCTCATCTTATCTATCAATGTTGTCGTGGTGTGTGTATCGATGCCATCATTGAATTCATTGTTGTATGACTAAGCCTCTACTACTATCCTGCAGCTAACACACAATGTTGTTGAAATCATGTAATTCCGGCAAGTGGAAACACAACTGCCAACATGATCAATCATTAAGTTACTGTAGTAGCCTTTGCTCTGCCCAACTTGCCTTTTTCACCGCCTGATGGAGAACACTATTGTAATCACGTGATAAACGGTATGATCAAAACCAACCTTCAACGTTGATTGATTGCAAAGAGAGCCTTGCTGCATGGTATTATCTTGACGTATGCTGTAGATTATCCGTTATCTTTCCAACATCCCAAGTATAGCTCTTAGAGTACTGTTAGTGAAGCTCATGAATGCGTAATAAGTATATAAATGATAAGGTGGCAAATTAGCTTCCATGGAAACCATGTACTGACAAGGATGGCCACGCGAAGGCTTTGCCGTCACCCTCTCCCCTACGGTGCACCAAGCCGAATAACGGGGGCTGCCATTGCATCTCCTATGGCATCTTCTATAGGTGCTGCTCGAGTCAACATGTTCGGTCTGATAAAAGGACAAAATAGCATCCCACGCCCACAGAGGCCAACCCATAAGAGCGAAAAGCAATACATGATCCCATATCTACCACAAGGCCACTGAGTAACAGTCTAACTTCCAACGGCTAAGGCAGTAATCCTCAAATGCAATTGATAGGGCCATGATAGGGATGACCACACTGTCGCAAATGAATCATAGCTGCCAACGATGCTTTACA